TTGTTGCTACTAATGGAAACATTACATTTGGTATTGCTCTTTATGTCAATGTACGCATTACATCAGCTGAGACTGGAATAGACTCATCCATTAATAGTAATTATGTACCACCTGATCCTTCTTTCTTTCCATTCGGTGCTACTGTCACCAAAGCTCCTAGCATGATGCTTAATAGCAACATACCAGGGACGTATATATTTTCTCTGAATCATATACCACCAAGTATGACTATAGTACATGCATCAACTGTTCCGTATAACTTGTATATCTTTTAGATCCTTGTACTGAGCCTAGCCAGCCTGACTGCTCTGCTCTATGTAAAGCTAAACTTCTTAAGATGGCATGTGAGGCTTTGAGACTTAATGGTGATTCAGAAGATCTACCAGCTCCTTGTAATAACTGAGCACATTCAATTTTCTATTTTTTGTTTTAGTTGACTAATCAGTATTGTTTTTATATTAGAGTTAAAGTCAATTTTGTTTTATCAGTAGAAATAGCTAGTTATTTTGTCAAGGACATTAATTTTATTATTATTTTGACATGTAAAATGTCAGAAAGAACATATATTAGATTTTTAAAATGATAAAGTTAACTAAGAGACAGTCAGCAGGTATTATATAAAAAGAAAGATCCCATTTAAACAGATAAGCTGTATATACTGCTGGTGGTAGGTGTAGTAAATAGTGACAATATTGAAATTATATCATTATGTTGTGTAGAAATTTTTGAGTTGATTCCAGTCAAAATAGGATTTTTAAAAGTTGCTCAAAAATCTGGCCAAAGTTGGGCCAAATTTTGCCAAAAATGAAAATGAGAGAAATCTCTATTTTTATTAAACATTAAGTACTAATGTACACTAAATGTAATACCTTCCCATGTCCTGTGTTTCTCTCTCCTTCGGGCTCTTTCTTAAATGAATGTGAAACAGATACTTGTCTGTTACATAATTATCAAAATATCAAAATTAACCTTTAGAATCACCACTATCACTTACTACTATCAGGCTTGATTCAATATTAATAATGGCACTGCTGCCATCATCATAACTAATAGTTAGCTAAATAGTCTAAAAGAGCATTATGACTGATACTAATAGATACTAACATTCTACTGCAGCATCCAACAGTGTCAACTACATATGTGTGTTAGTACATACTAGAGTGACAGTATTTGCATTCTTTACCATCCATTCTCTTCCATGGGCTCCTTTCTCTTTTCACCTAAAATGTAGTAACTTTCATCTTAATTTGTATTGTTATTATTCATCTTAAAGCTGGCCAAATTCACTTGCATTTTTTAAAGATTTATGGTGTAAATGTGCCTGTGCTTGTTATCAGTATTTAAATACACTTGCATTGGGACTGGATACAAACAAATGCTACAGCATGAGTCAATTTGTCTCTTTTCTGATCCATTGATGCATATGCATATACCATTTTACTGCAAAGCAGGTACAATACAAAGTAATGCAGGGGAATAAATTGATATGGTACAGTCTTTTTTATCTTATGACCTCCTAAAAGTGTCAGATACACACCAAAAATATACTTAATCCCTCAGTTAACGTGAACATCATTTATGGTTATAATTATTCTTACATACTTGAGCCAACAATGATGGAGGAGTGTTGAAGAATGTAAAACTCGCTACTCCAGTAGTAACTGACAATTAAAAAATCATTATATACCATTATCGATCATTATATTACAATTAATTAACGAAGCACTTCATACACATACCACCTGTGTACCATGTCTCCTCCTAATCTAAGAAATAAACTACAAATTATCCACTCTTGATTATATATAATGCAAACATATATGTAATAACACATTATACTAATCTTGCATAGCCGAATAGCTAGGTGAGACTACATGTCTACTATAATAGTAAAATCATTCTTTTCATGTGGCAGACCAGTGTGATATATACAGGTATAATTAATTGTTGAATTAGTGAAGAATGCAAACTTATACCATGGTGCGTGGGTGGTTACCATGGAAACCTTAAATGTTTAGCGGGAGTTATATGCCCATAACCACCCTGCAGACAGTGTGGGTTTTCACAGTTTACACAAGAACAATACTGCAATACTTTACCATGGCATAAGTCAGATACAT